CGGGCACCGTAGCCAGCCCATGCCCCTTTAAGGGCTCCGGGGCCAGGAGGGGGGCAGACGATTTTCCCTGGTGTTGCCCAGAGTGGCCACCAGGGAAAGCTGGGGAGGACTAGCCTCCCACTATTTCGAATTAAGTGGCTACGGAGCCCTTAATTTGAACTACTTAATTTGAACTAGGCTTAATCCTCGTACAATGAGGTTTACCTAGTTTGAACTAAGCGCTCCGCTAGTTCGAATTAAGTTCGAACTAGCGGAGCGCTAGTGTAGCGCCTATCAAAGTTATTTCAAACTAACGTCTGTTAGTTCGAATTAACTTTGTAGTGTAGACATACCCTAAGGGATCTTTTGGAAAAGGCTTTATTTTCCGAAAGACCCCCGTCTAGACTGGCGTTTTTTTCCAGCAAAGCCCTGAACCGGAAAAAAGCGGCAGCCATGTTTATCCAAATGAAGCGGGGGAGATTTAAATCCCCTTTTCATTTGCAATAACGATGTGTCTAATCTGCATCCCTTTTCCGGAAAAGGGGTGCAGTGTAGACAAAGCCCCAGAGAAGGAGAGATTAGGTTTGACCCAGGAACATCTTTTCTAGCATCCGTCACATCCACGTGTCATTTCAGTGGACGGTTCTACATCTCCTGGCAGTCTGGAGGCAGCCAGGCCTTTACCTCTGAGCCTCAGCTTAGGAGGTGAGTTTCAAGAGTTGAAAATCCTAACAGGTGGTGTGTCCTGTTGGCAATGACCTTCGACTATTTGCAACAAGGGCTTCACAAAAAATACAAATATTCCCCAGTGGCTCACATACCTCCCTTTCAAACTGCTTACACTAGTGCCAGGAGCCCTGCCCTGAATTCTCACCCTTCGCAGATTGGCGAGGTTGTGACCTTCACTCCACATTGATTGCACCCAGGCAGTTGAAACAGCTTTGAACACCAGCTTTATAGCACATGCAAATCCCTTATAAATGTTCTTATTTTGAATGTGGCACTTTTGGAGTTAGCTTCCTGGAGCCAGAACAGGAGCAAAGCAGAACCAAGACGGGTAGAGACCAGTTTTCGCTGTTTTCAAACAGCACTTTAGTTCACCCAGTGCTGGTTTGCATCTAAGACAGCAGCTAGATGTAAACCACAGTGGGAACACAGCTCAGCATCGGAAGGGAGCTCCTGAGCCATTTGGTTGAATTCCCTGCTAACGCAGGTTCTCCCCCTCCACCTTCCCCCATGCCAGACTCCACCTCTAGTTTATCATCCCATTTGCAAACATGTCAAGTTCCATCATCAAACTATTTAGGGTGTTTTTCTCCCACTCCACTTGTTAGCTCTTTTACCTCCCGCATTTTTCCTCCGCCCAGCCCCCCTCCCATGTAGTCATACAAAGCAATCAGATGCTTTCTCCGCCTGCATTTTGCCAGGCTGAACAAGCCAACCTCTTACAGTGTCGTCTCGTAGAAATTGGCCTTCCAACCCCTGGTCAGCCCGGCAGCCCTTCTCTGCATCTGGTCCAGCCCGGCTTCATCTTTCTAGTATGTGGCTGGCCAGAATCAGGCAGTTTTCTAGAAGAGACCTGACCAGTGCCTAGACTGCAGCATTCAGACTTCCCTCTCTTGACTGAAAATGCTTCTGCTTTGATCCCAAGCCCCACACCTGACCTGTCTGCAGCTGTGAAGCGCTCTTCACCCCTTCCTAACCCCAAGCAGCTTCACAGCATCTTGCCTGAACCTCCTCTCCTCGGCCAAGTTCTGCAGTTTTTTTGGTGGGGTAGGGGTAGAGTTATTCTGAGGTTTTGAGATCCTTCTGTTCCCTCATGTATCCTTGGTCATCTCCACCATCCCAGAACTAGAAATAAAATCCAGGAGTACTGAATTCCAGTCCCCCCCCCCCAACCACTAGACCCCACTCCTCTCCCAGACTCTGTGATGGAACAGAATCCTGACTCCCAGACCCCAGCTGTGCTCTAACCACTAGAATCCACTTCCCTCCAGCTCCACTGCTTTATCCCAGGGTAGCACCACTTCTCCCCAGCTCCCCCCATTCTTACCCACTACCCCACTTCCCTCCAGCCCCCCAACACATTCTAACCCACCAGAACCCACTTCCCCACTAGAGCTAACTCCCAGCACCCCTTGCATTACCACTAGGCCCCACGCCCCTCCCGTCATGAGGAATAAAAGCCAGGTGTCCAGATTCCCAGGGAAATCCAACTCATACGTTTTCAAGGGTTCTGGAGTGAAAGATGCCAGAGAAGCAGATAATTTGAGAGGCTTTTGAAATCCCTGTGTAGCCGCACACCAGGAGAAAAGGGCACTCACCCACAAGCCAGCCCAGCAGGGTGAGCAGCGCTGCGTTCCCAGACCCCCAGCCTCCAGCAACCATCTCCAGAGCCCTGGCTGTGAGCTCGCTGCGTGGCACCCCAATGAGGAGAGCTCAGGGCGGAAGGGCAGACCTGGCTCTGGGCTTCTCTAGTCTGTGGGTTTCATTTCCCAGTCTGGCCAGGGGCTGCAGCTGCTGGTTTCCTGCATGAGCCGCACGATGTGCCAGGCCCCTGCGCACAGGAAGGGGGGTGATAAGGCACCTGGAAAGTAGGAAGTGAAGTTCTTGGAAAGACCCCTGCACCCCATGGCATGTGCTGCAAATCATGCCCCATGCGCAGCCTCGTGCACCCTCTGGAGGGGATTATCCTGTAAACCTCTCCCACTCCCATCTTCCCCCCCTGCATCTGATCACAGCCTTCCCCCTCCCCCCGTAGCACCTACTGCAGAATCTCTCCCCCGTCTCTGCACCCGCACATGCCCCCAACTTTTACTGCTGCCTCTGCCACTGCTCCCCTTTCCCACATCACAGGGGCAGATGGACAATGTTTCATTAATGCTGCAATGTGAACCCTTAACTCTGCCCTCAGCAACGTGCATGTGATGGGGGCCTGTCCTCATGTGTACACAGCTGCCTGCTAGCTCAGCTGTGGCTCACCTCACTCCTGACACCTGACTCCCTGCTAATTCACCCCCTACAGCTCTGACAATATCCCAACCTACTGCCCCCAGCTCTGGGTTCCCCACCCACCCCACACCAGCTCTTCTGGGGCCCTTCAATCCCCAGTTCCCTACTATCCCAGCTCTGGGCTCCACCCACACCCATGTCTGTGCATTTAAGGCATTTTAAAATAAAGTAATTTAGTAACTGCACAACAGGTTCATGGCAGAAGTGTAAAGGAGAAGTGTTAATACAGAGGCTATGTCTAGACTACTGGGTTTTTGTGGGGTATAGGCAGTATCCTGCAAAAACCCCATCG